CCCCTCCCCTCCTCTTCTTATATCTGGCAGGAGAATCTGAACAAGTTGATGGCCAACCTCAAAACTACTCATCCCCATTTTGTGCGGTGCATCATCCCCAATGAACGAAAGGCACCTGGTAATCCAGTGGGAACAATATTGATCCGTTAGGGGTGGGAAGGCCAGATGTTCGGTTTGGGGAACTCTTGGCACAAGATTCCTTCAGTTGGCTTGCGTTTATATCAATGTTTCTCAGCTTTAGCAACTTTAAGATGGGTGGACTTCAAGTCCCAGAATTCTGTTGCCAAGGTTGAGAAACACTGGTCTATATCCTTGCTGTGGTGAGTTGGGAATTACTGCTGCCTCCCCGCTTCATTTCCTGCTTAATGGCAGGCAGAAACCCAGTAAGGAACAGATAAAGTTGGGAGGGGGCTCCTTTTCATCACGGAAGCTAGAGGGCCAAGGGCTGGGGCACGGGCCAAACCTGCTGACCCCTGGCATTAGCTTTGCTGCAAGAGGCAGCGATTCACTTGCAGACAGGGTTGCACTGGCGGGTTATTCCTGCATTAGGTAGCAGCAAGTTGGATCCATGTGCAAAGTTCAAAAAATCTGCATGTATTAGAAGCATTCTAGGACAAGGTGCAAGGCTACATCTGGCAGGGAAAGACAAGATCTCTAGAGATTGTGAACTGAAGAATTGCTCCTGGCTAGGATGGTTCTGGCAAGGAGCCATGGAGCTTCAGGCTGGCTAAGATTCAGTCACTGAGTTTGCACAGCATGCTACGTTAGTCTGAAAGGGAGGTTGGGCATTTTTTGGAAGGAACCTGCCCGTTATCTTAGCAGGTGAAACTGTGTGTGAGAATGATCTCAAGAGACAGGAGGAGGAGAAAGAGGAGCCGCAGACTAGGCAACAGTCAGATAAGAGGCAGCTTAGCCCACAGAAGCAATGGAGGGTGGAAAACATCTCAGAAGGGACCCTTCCTAGTTTCTTGGACTGCAAAGGTGAGGGGGGAAAGATGTCTTTTCAGACTTGCAAGCTCGATGTCAGCCCTTTAGTCCAGACAAGAAGTTCCAACCATGAGTATTAACGCTATCTTTATTGTAAGGTTACAGGAACAGACTCTTGCAAGATTAATGTCAGCCCTTAGAGTTAATCCAGACAAGAAGTTCTGGCCATAAGTACTAACACTACCTTTATTGTAAGGTTACAGGAACAGAATCTTGCAAGTCTGAATGTACGTTTCTCTCCCCTCGCCTTTACAGTCCAAGAAACTAGGGAGGGTCCCTTCTGAAACATTTCCCATGCCCCCCTTGCTTCTGAGGGCTCAGCTACCTCTTATCTGACCGTTGCCTAATCTGCTGTTCCTCTTCCTCCTCCACCTCTCCCTCAAGGTCATTCTCACCATTAACCATCTTCAACACCATTACAGCAGGTTGCATAATCCAGGATATTCTATTACATTTCTTGAGCGTTGCTTATTACAGGAGCCATCATTTGTGTTTTTTAGGCCCTTAGTATGTTGTGTGAATCCAGACAGTGAGCACGGGACGCACGTTTCTGAAGGGGCAATGTCTTTCTTTTCATCTGTCCCTTTCTCATTTTCTTTTTCAGGGGTAATGGACAACCCCTTAGTCATGCACCAGTTACGCTGCAATGGAGTCCTGGAGGGGATCCGGATCTGCCGGAAGGGATTCCCCAACCGGATTCTCTATGGAGACTTCAGGCAAAGGTGAACCCACTCCTCTGGCATCCAAAAGTGCCATTTGGGGGATCACATCAGACTACATCTTACTTTAACCGTGGCAACAGGGTGGCAGCAGTTGTCCAGCCTTGTCTGTCCTTGGAAAGTAAGCAGGGCCAGGGCTTGGATGGGAGACCACCAGGAGATCCTGCTGTAAAGTAGACTAGAGAGTTGACAAACCCTCCCAGAAGACGTCAGCGGCAAACTATTTCCTGTATTGCTGTCCTGAAAACTAAACTCCAATAGGAACCAAACTTGACTTGGCTTTTTCATCCCATTCTTCCCTCCCGTAATATTGACTTCTTCGTCTCTTAATAATCTGAAAATTATTAGGCACTGTGATGTTGGGTTGTGTGCCAAACAGAGAACTATCTTGATGTGATTCGATGGGGAACAAAAGAGATTTAAGTGCTCGTAAATGGCCAGAGTCACACGCCTGAAGGGTGGCTGACCCCTGCACCCTCCATTGGATGCAGAAGTTGGATGGTTAAGCAGATGCTCTTAGGACAAGGACCCCACACCCCATCTGGCTGCCTCTATGTCCTTGCCAAATCTCAGATGCTTCTAGTTAACCTTTAGCGGGATTGTTGAGCAGAATCTGTCCTTTTTCACCAGGTACCGCATCCTAAATCCTGCGGCCATCCCGGAGGGCCAGTTCATCGACAGCCGGAAGGGGGCAGAGAAACTTCTGAGCTCCCTGGACATTGACCACAACCAGTACAAATTTGGACATACCAAGGTGAGGCGAGCAAATTTGGAATGTGGGCAATGGCTCCCCCCAGCCCTCCAGATCCCTTTTCCCACAAGGACCCTAGAAGGGGAGTTTTGGAACTGGGGTTCAGGGGATTAAAATCTTCTATCCCCAACCAGGCTGTTCTGGCCTTGAAAAGGGACATCTCAAGAGTTAAGAAGTCATTCAGGTTTTGCACCCTTCCTCCATGTTTAGCTGCTCTTAGCTGATTTTGGTTGATCTGGAAAAGCTGAGTAGGACTGGGCCTTGTATGAGAGACCACCAGAAAACTATTAAGTCTGGGAGGTTAAAAAAGTATTCCAAAAGGAAGAAGTGGCAGGCCATTTCAACGTTGTTTCCACCAGTAGCGTCCACAGACTATGGCCAAAAAAGTCAAGATGGTGGCTACAACCAGGTGGTTGAAACTTCCTGTTTTATGTGCGGAGCTTCAGTCATGCATGCCATCATGGCCACCATCTTGACTTTTTTGACCACACCCTGCAGACCCCCTTGCAAGAATCTGTGAAGTCAGATCAGAAGTGAACCTGAACTTGAAAGAGACTTACCTTTAATCCCCATGTGGACGTAAAGCTGAAACCCGTTACTTTAGGACGTTAACGTTTCCGTTGTGTAAATGACAGATAAAACAGAATTCTGTTTTACTGATGGATCTTACAAGCATGCCTTTGTATTCGTTTTCTTTGCTCTAATAGAAAATAAAATAAAAACCAAATGGGTCTGGCAACCCCACAGGTATTTTTCAAGGCAGGGCTGCTGGGCCAGCTGGAGGAGATGCGAGATGAACGCCTTTCCCGCATCATCACACGCATTCAGGCCCGGGCAAGGGGTCAGCTCATGCGCATTGAATTCAAGAAGATTGTGGAGCGCAGGTGAGTCCTAGGGAAGGTCAAGGTTATGGAAGCTGAAGTCAACTGGAGGAGAAGGACAAGGTTCAAAATAAGGAAAGACCCTCTTCTTGGGTATTGTCAGAGCAGGGTCTTTCGTTAGCCAGGTTGCAGATGTTCCCACAATAATTCATGAGCTGTTGTCTAGTTGGTCATTTGAGGAAAGGCGGCGTGTCTCCAGCTGAAGAGAGATATGGATGTCTATCAGCCAAAATTGGATCTGCCCATTTGGTCTGGTCACCCAAAACAGGCTTGTTATGGATCCCCACTCCTTACAAGGTCCATAAAGAATGGTCTGGGCACCAGGACTTCTCAGTGGTGGCCCCCATTTTATGCACACTATTCCCCCTGGAGACAGGCCGGATGGTCCCTATTCTGTGGTGTTTTGAAAACTAATAAAAGTAGCCTTGCTCCAGCAAGCATTTGGCCTTTACATTAGCTTAATTCAGTGTTAGGTTTAACGGATCATTTTTATTATTCAGGCAGGATTTTTAATGT